ACGAAGATCATTTTTTAGAATCCACGTGATACGATGAACGATACGCTACTGAATGTTAAATTAGGGGTGGTAATGAGTGAAATATATCAATCCGTTGCGAGAATGTTAATCTACTGTTTTTCTACTAATCATAAGAATCACGATATACTCAACGTTGTCATATATGTAATTTACAGACAGACTATTAACATACTTTTAAATTTTTTCAATACATATTGATGATATTGAATATATTTTATTCGATACCTTCATGAATACAGTACGTCCTTTATTCTGGGTTATTTAGATATATGTGAGGCATCAAAATGAAAGATGATAAAATATCTACAACAACCTGGCAACACTTTACTCGTTTCACATTTCTCAGAAGTCAGTGCCTGCAATTTGATACCATATTACAATAAACTCGAAAACAAATGTGCACAATTTTTAACACGTATGTTTTATGAAAAAGTAACATTAGACAAAAATATGTATTACCAACCAAAGAATGCTAAATTTGGTTCTAACCAGTTTAGAAGCCAATACAAAGTTAAAAAAACACTGATCCAAAACACTAGTCATTATTTTATGAAAATAAATACTAAAAAACTGCCTATTTGGGCAGCAATATTAACGACAACTAAAATATGAGCAATTATGCCTGGTGGAACAACCGCCAACCAAATTTATCACGTCTTGATAGACAAAAGGGCCGCAACAAGCATACAAGATGTAAAGAGCCGAAGATAAGCAAGCTGCGGATCTGACCATCTCCTAGTACAGATAAAATACAGATGTAGAATTCTGGTTCGGACATGTTAAAAGAGTACAGACGACCTAGAAGAGTACTGGAATGGATCCATCCTGAAAGAGGAAAGAAAGGACGACCACGGAGAAGTTGGCGCAACGATATTGATGAAGCAATGGCGACAAGAGACTTAGAAGAGGCAACTGCATATGACAGAAAAAGATGGAAATTGGGGGCGGAGAAGCGATAACAGCCGTGATCAATCAATTATATATATATATATATATATATATATATATATAATATATTATATATAGAATTCAAAGAAACAGGAGGAACAGACAGGAACAAACAACTGAACAACTAGATATACAAAAATTTACACAACAAGATATCAAACAGAATGATATGAGACAGAAATAACACAAACATTAACAAATACAGGCAGTCTAGGCACCGAAGAATATTTGGAAGAAATTAAAACAAAAGTAATTGACACAGCAAGAAAGATTATAAGCTAAAGAAACAAATAAAAAGAGAATGGTTCAATGACGAGTTTAAAAAGGACATACAGAAAAGAAATGAAGAATACAAGAAATATATGGAAAGAAGAACCAGAGAAAGAAGAGTAAGCTACGAAGATGTAAGACGGAGGGCCGAACAGAGAAAAGAAAATATGAGAACGGTAATATACAGAAAATGGATGAAAATCTCCAAAGCTACGATATAAGAGAAGCGTATAGATATCTACGCAACTTAAGAGAAGGATACAAACCACGAACAAATCTATGCAGAAATCAAAATGGACAAGTAACCAGTGATCCAAAAGAAATAAAATCAGTCTGGAAAACCTATTTCCAAACTCTCCTAGGGACACAAGAAAATAAATAGCATATAGTAGATTATTTTTATTTTAAACAATCTTTAAAATACATTTTTCCACTATGAAATATTCCAAATATGAAACGATGTTCATCCTAATTGGTTGGTTAAATTAATAAAAGTAATTTTGATTGCAACTATAATAAAAATAATTGGTTTCACATCAAACGATAACAAAAATAAACAAAATAATCCAATTTTGACGTTACAGATATTATACTGTTACAAATAGTTGTAGTTACGAATCGTCGATGTTATGGATTTGCCCGTTATCACTTGTGGAGTTATCAATTGTCGCTTTATGACATGTCACAAAACCATTAAGTAGCTATTGGTACTGATACTTTAGAAAACAAACATTAATTAACAAATACTTATAGACTTGTATAGAGAGTATTGAGAGTTTGTATAAGATAAAAATATAAGTTGTTGAACTGAAAATGTATAGCCTTTTAGACATACTAAAACTAGTACGAAAAATAACTGGGTATGGTCTAAACCGGTATAAAATGTATCATATTTCATTCAACATTATCACAAACAGTCCGGCTTTTCCACTTTGTGCTTTCATAACAATGAGTTTTTTAAGGGAAGAGATCGTTAACCTTTTGCCCAACCCCCTAATCTTCGAAGGACCATTTCTCCCACTCTTGTTTGCCCTGACTCTGCTTCCCACTGGGGTTGGTTACCACAATCTTCCACAGAGTTGCTCAGGTTACCAGGGTTCACCGCGTGGAGGTAAGAGTTGGAATTGAGTAGGAGAGGCTAGTGACGCTAACAGGATGCAGCGTCATATTTTACGCATCACTACCCCATTTGAACCCCAATGGTGATGCCATTGATCAAAAAGTAATGAAAATATGGCCAGTAACCACTGTAGTCTATTTCATGATATGCATTTATCAGTTCGAGTAGGAGTTATTAAAAGTACACAGCTATTATTATCACGTTTTGGGATGATATTAGAGTATCAACATCGTCCAGTTTTAAACAGCCTGCTGAATGAACTTTCCTGTCGTGACTCAAGTGTTAGTGAAGCCTGCATTGATGCGTTGACCGCTCTTGTACTCCACTGCAACGACAATATTTACTATGAGTTAGTTTTTCACTTATATTCAGAATTAATGACACGTAACAATCGTACGTTGGAAAAAGCGTATATACAATGCATTGCTTCTCTCTGCAAACAACCAGAATTTATACTTGATTATAGCCTCGAAGCAGAAGAAAGATTCGCAACGCATGTCCAAAGATTTATTCCAGCAATTCTAAACAATTTGGTAGGTTGCAAGACGAGGATGATCTAAGAATAATATGCTTTGGAACATTTAAGCGTTTTATATACAGATTTCCCAAAGAAGTCACACACTGTATAATCCAAATCATAGAACTATGCCTGAACTACATTACATATGAATTTCCTAATTATGAGGGCGGTGATAATAATGTCGTCATTACTGACATCACCTGGAAGGTAGGCAAAGCAGCTTTACGATGTTTAGACGCTATGTTAAAGCTTCCTCAACCATTGATGCATTTATGTGTACATGTATTACCCGACTTAATCTCAAGATTTAATGATGGTAACATAATTGTGAGAATACTTGTTTTCAATGTATTTTTAAAACTTCTGGAATCAATAAGGTCGTGTGGTGAAGTAAATACAAATGAAGTGACCGAGGCTACTTTAATAATTTCGGGTCGAATCGAAGACATTGTGAATGCCGTGAAGTTTCATGTAGTCCAAGAAAACTCGAAAATTAGACTGAAGTGTTTCAGTTTACTAAAAGCACTATCTATACTTCTTCCAGAACGATTTACTAATTATTTTAGGGATGTACTACCCGCAATAGTAAATTCATTAAGAGACTCAGGAGGTGATTGCGATGTTGAGTTCAAAGCACTATCTTGTCTTTTAAGTATATTGGCAACTTATAAAAACCAGTTGCACTATTTTCACCTCTATATAAGCGTTTTACTTCCTCCAGTTACAGATTCTATTAACAGTCGCTTTCACAAGACCAATGGCAAAGCCCTAGACGTCTTGCAAAAGTTACTAATAATAGTCAATCAGTTGGATCCTAACTATTTTGACTTTGACTTTAGGCCCTGTGTTGGAGACATATACAATCGCACCTTATGGCATATACAAATGAATAGCCCTCTAAATGTTAAAGAAAAAGCGATATTTACAATGGAAGAGATAATAATTACCTTGGTCCCTTACATGGGACCAGTGGTATTACATCCTCTAAATTTGTTCATTGAGACACTGAGTGATAATTGTACTATGAATGCATCTGTGAAAACATTAATGAGGATTGTTTTATCTCCTTCTAGGGCGAGCTTAGCTGTATTACCTTTAATCCCGTTATTGGTTAGAATCTTAAAATTCAATGAAGTAAGATACAAATGACGCTTCAATTAATAAATAGTTTGATTGAGGGTAATCTGCAATATATGGACAAAGACACGTTAATACCTGTTGTTACAGAAAGTACAAAGTTTATTGACATATCTGATCTTAAAATAACTAAATGGACCATTAAGATTTTAAAGTCCATTGCTGATTATCTTCCGGATAGTTTAGAAAAAATATTAGTGAGACTGTTATGCCGAAGATTTTAGAACTTCTAAAATCACCTTTTTGGACGCGCCACTCTTAGAGGCCACGGTAAGCTTCTTAAGTTATTTGGTTGTATACGATCTCCCAGGATTGGAATATGGTGACCTGCTAACAATGCTTTTGTCTATAATATATCACTCCCAGGAAAACTGTGATATGGAAGTATTTTATGCGATCTCAAGATCGATAGCTGCAATAACAATTAGTCATCCATTTTATTTCGAGAGAGCAGTATTAGATTTTATCCAGATTATGAGCGTTTCAGAAAATATTACTATTAAAAAATTAAATTTAATGATCGTAGGAGAAATCGGCGAAAAAGCGGAAATATCAAAACCTTTACATTGGCTGATCGTCGGATTATTTTTCATTGAATCCGATGAAATTAAACAACTTGCAAGTATTGCGCTTGGCAAAATTTGTATTGGCAACGTTTCAAGCTATTTACCATTTATTTTAGAAGGAGAAGCTAGGCGAGAACCTGAAACACACTTGTTTTTCTTGGTTTCGTTACGAGAGCTAGTAGATGGACTCCTAAAATTTGATTATAGAATACCTCATATAATACCTTTTGCTATTCCAATTTTCCAACAGTTATGAGAACGTTGCTGTTGTGACGCAGAAGAAGTCAGAAACCTCGCTGCATATATTTTGGGGAAATTTACATTAATAAATGGTAGGATTATATTGCCATTATGGCAATATGTACTAAGATATGAGTCTTCGTTAAACAGAGCTTCAGTGATGAGAGCTTTTAAACTAATGATTACTGATCAGCCTCACCCGATCGATGACTTATTACCCGAATGTATTGGAGAGTTTCTAGCCACTTTGCAAGATCAAAACTTACATGTAAGAAGAATTGCGCTAGAAGCATTTAGTAGAGTTGTCCAAAATAAGCCATCACTAGTTAACGATCAACTCTACAATTATTTAGATATAATCTATCAACAGGTTGCCTTAAAGCCAACTGTGATATCAGAAGTGGAACAAATCGATTATTATTTAGAAGTGAGAAAGGCAGCGTATGAATGATTGTTTAATTTGCTAGATACTTTTTATAATAAACTTAACAAATATACTTTAATTAACCAGGTGGAGTCTACATTAAAATATGATATGGAAAGCCATGCCCTTCAAATCATAATATACAACATAATAACTAAATTGACAGAAAAGTGCCCGATGTTATGGATTTGCCCGTTATCACTTGTGGAGTTATCAATTGTCGTTTTATGACATGTCACAAAACCATTAAGTAGCTATTGGTACTGATACTTTAGAAAACAAACATTAATTAACAAATACTTATAGACTTGTATAGAGAGTATTGAGAGTTTGTATAAGGTAAAAATGTAAGTTGTTGAACTAAAAATGTATACCCTTTTAGGCATACTAAAACTAGTACGAAAAATAACTGGGTATGGTCTAAACCGGTATAAAATGTATCATATTTCATTCAACTACTTTGTCAGACTCTGTTATATTGTACTAATACAATAAAAACTTTAAACTTTAAAAGATAAACTTTAATATGTAAAAAAAACCGTAATATAATTAAAATCTAAATATTGCAATAAAAAATAAACATTGCAGTGAAATAGCTAGTATAGAGAGCTATAATCACCATCATAAAATTTCACTTGGACGCAGATTCTAGGTGGAGTTAATGGATCATTTAAAATTTCTTGGAATATCGGTGTTAACTCAGGTGTGTTCATACCTTGGTTAACAAATTCGTAGAGGTAAGTAATCTTAGTTGCGTCGGGTAAGCCAATAAAAGATATCATAGCTCTCATAGCTGATTTTTTAGCAGCTATAATTTTGTTAAATTGATCGTTGGAAAGTCCATTTGTTGACTCTTTAAATGTATCTCTCATATAACTTAGCCAGTTGGGATTCTCCAACTTCTTTGCAACCTCATCAGGGCACTTTTCTGTCAATTTAGTTATTGTGTTGTATATTATGATTTGAAGGTCATAGCTTTCTATATCATATTTTAATGTAGACTCCACCTGGTTAATTAAAGTATATTTGTTAAGTTTATTATAAAAAGTATCTAGCAAATTAAACAATCATTCATACGCTGCCTTCCTCACTTCTAAATAATAATCGATTTGTTCCACTTCTGATATCACAGTTGGCTTTAAGGCAACCTGTTGATAGATTATATCTAAATAATTTTAGAGTTGATCGTTAACTAGTGATGGCTTATTTTGGACAACTCTACTAAATGCTTCTAGCGCAATTCTTCTTACATGTAAGTTTTGATCTTGCAAAGTGGCTAGAAACTCTCCAATACATTCGGGTAATAAGTCATCGATCGGGTGAGGCTGATCAGTAATCATTAGTTTAAAAGCTCTCATCACTGAAGCTCTGTTTAACGAAGACTCAGATCTTAGTACATATTGCCATAATGGCAATATAATCCTACCATTTATTAATGTAAATTTCCCCAAAATATATGCAGCGAGGTTTCTAACTTCTTCTGCGTCACAACAGCAGCGTTCTCATAACTGTTGGAAAATTGGAATAGCAAAAGGTATTATATGAGGTATTCTATAATCAAATTTTAGGAGTCCATCTACTAGCTCTCGTAACGAAACCAAGAAAAACAAGTGTGTTTCAGGTTCTCGCCTAGCTTCTCCTTCTAAAATAAATGGTAAATAGCTTGAAACGTTGCCAATACAAATTTTGCCAAGCGCAATACTTGCAAGTTGTTTAATTTCATCGGATTCAATGAAAAATAATCCGACGATCAGCCAATGTAAAGGTTTTGATATTTCCGCTTTTTCGCCGATTTCTCCTACGATCATTAAATTTAATTTTTTAATAGTAATATTTTCTGAAACGCTCATAATCTGGATAAAATCTAATACTGCTCTCTCGAAATAAAATGGATGACTAATTGTTATTGCAGCTATCGATCTTGAGATCGCATAAAATACTTCCATATCACAGTTTTCCTGGGAGTGATATATTATAGACAAAAGCATTGTTAGCAGGTCACCATATTCCAATCCTGGGAGATCGTATACAACCAAATAACTTAAGAAGCTTAATGTGGCCTCTAAGAGTGGCGCGTCCAAAAAGGTGATTTTAGAAGTTCTAAAATCTTCGGCATAACAGTCTCACTAATATTTTTTCTAAACTATCCGGAAGATAATCAGCAATGGACTTTAAAATCTTAATGGTCCATTTAGTTATTTTAAGATCAGATATGTCAATAAACTTTGTACTTTCTGTAACAATAGGTATTAACGTGTCTTTGTCCATATATTGCAGATTACCCTCAATCAAACTATTTATTAATTGAAGCGTCATTTGTACTTCATTGAATTTTAAGATTCTAACCAATAACGGGATTAAAGGTAATACAGCTAAGCTCGCCCTAGAAGGAGATAAAACAATCCTCATTAATGTTTTCACAGATGCATTCATAGTACAATTATCACTCAGTGTCTCAATGAACAAATTTAGAGGATGTAATACCACTGGTCCCATGTAAGGGACCAAGGTAATTATTATCTCTTCCATTGTAAATATCGCTTTTTCTTTAACATTTAGAGGGCTATTCATTTGTATATGCCATAAGGTGCGATTGTATATGTCTCCAACACAGGGCCTAAAGTCAAAGTCAAAATAGTTAGGATCCAACTGATTGACTATTATTAGTAACTTTTGCAAGACGTCTAGGGCTTTGCCATTGGTCTTGTGAAAGCAACTGTTAATAGAATCTGTAACTGGAGGAAGTAAAACGCTTATATAGGGGTGAAAATAGTGCAACTGGTTTTTATAAGTTGCCAATATACTTAAAAGGCAAGATAGTGCTTTGAACTCAACATCGCAATCACCTCCTGAGTCTCTTAATGAATTTACTATTGCGGGTAGTACATCCCCAAAATAATTAGTAAATCGTTCTGGAAGAAGTATAGATAGTGCTTTTAGTAAACTGAAACACTTCAGTCTAATTTTCGAGTTTTCTTGGACTACATGAAACTTCACGGCATTCACAATGTCTTCGATTCGACCCGAAATTATTAAAGTAGCCTCGGTCACTTCATTTGTATTTACTTCACCACACGACCTTATTGATTCCAGAAGTTTTAAAAATACATTGAAAACAAGTATTCTCACAATTATGTTACCATCATTAAATCTTGAGATTAAGTCGGGTAATATATGTACACATAAATGCATCAATGGTTGAGGAAGCTTTAACATAGCGTCTAAACATCGTAAAGCTGCTTTGCCTACCTTCCAGGTGATGTCAGTAATGACGACATTATTATCACCGCCCTCATAATTAGGAAATTCATATGTAATGTAGTTCAGGCATAGTTCTATGATTTGGATTATACAGTGTGTGACTTCTTTGGGAAATCTGTATATAAAACGCTTAAATGTTCCAAAGCATATTATTCTTAGATCATCCTCGTCTTGCAACCTACCAAATTGTTTAGAATTGCTGGAATAAATCTTTGGACATGCGTTGCGAAACTTTCTTCTGCTTCGAGGCTATAATCAAGTATAAATTCTGGTTGTTTGCAGAGAGAAGCAATGCATTGTATATACGCTTTTTCCAACGTACGATTGTTACGTGTCATTAATTCTGAATATAAGTGAAAAACTAACTCATAGTAAATATTGTCGTTGCAGTGGAGTACAAGAGCGGTCAACGCATCAATGCAGGCTTCACTAACACTTGAGTCACGACAGGAAAGTTTATTCAGCAGGCTGTTTAAAACTGGACGATGTTGATACTCTAATATCATCCCAAAACGTGATAATAATAGCTGTGTACTTTTAATAACTCCTACTCGAACTGATAAATGCATATCATGAAATAGACTACACTCGTTACTGGCCAAAATTTTCATTACCTTTTGAGCAATGACATCAGCATTTTAATAAGAATGAGTTTGTCTCTCATAATATGGAAGTTTGTCCAAGATTAATAGTAGCGTAGTGATCGCATTAGTTCTTAAATGTGGTTTATAAGAATAAATAATGGTGTGTAAATATGCAATCATTGACATCATGCCATCTTCAGTGACTTTGCTGGATAAGCCTATTAAAGCAAAGGGACACCAACTTGTGACTACAAGTACAAATGACCGTTAAAAAAAATTAAATGATCCATTAACTCCACCTAGAATCCGCGTCCAAGTAGAATTTTATGATGGTGATTATAGCTCTCTATACTAGCTATTTCACTGCAATGTTTATTTTTTATTGCAATATTTAGATTTTAATTATACTAAGGTTTTTTTTACATATTAAAGTTACTCTTTTAAAGTTTATCTTTTAAAGTTTAAAGTTTTTATTGTATTAGTACAATATAACAGAGTCTGACAAAGTCTGACAAGTAGTTGAATGAAATATGATACATTTTATACCGGTTTAGACCATACCCAGTTATTTTTCGTACTAGTTTTAGTGTGTTTATGTGTATTAGTGTGTTTATAAGTATTAGTTTATTCGTATGTATGTCTAAGAGGGTATACATTTTCAGTTCAACAACTTACATTTTTACCTTATACAAACTCTCAATACTCTCTATCCAAGTCTATAAGTATTTGTTAATTAATGTTTAATATCTGTAACGTCAAAATTGGATTATTTTGTTTATTTTTGTTATCGTTTGATGTGAAACCAATTATTTTTATTATAGTTGCAATCAAAGTTACTTTTATTAATTTAACGAACCAATTAGGATGAACATCATTTCATATTTGGAATATTTCATATTTCATAGTGGAAAAATATATTTTGAAAAGTGTGTAAAATAATTATATATATATATATATATATATATATATATATATATATATATATATATATATATATATATATATTCATGTAGTGAGAATGGAGACTGGAAGATTGCCAAAAAGAGCACCGCATAGTAAAATGTAGGGCGCAAGACCAAAAGGAAGGCCACGGAAAAGGTCGGAAGATTAAGTGGCAGCGGACGCGCAAATTTGCTAGACATGAGATGATCCTAGAAATGACCGCCGCGGGACCGGCAAGGTTGGAGGCATAGTTCGAAGGAGGCCAAGATTCGATTTGGGCTAGAGAGAGAGGAGAGAGAGAGAGAGAGAGAGAGAGAGAGAGAGAGAGAGAGAGATATGAGCAAAGAAATCAAATTACGCATTGAAAAAAGAGGAGCTTCTATAAAATTCTCTAAAATAAAGATGTAACACTAAAACTATTACATCAAATATTAAGATCATATTTACGAACTTGGTCATTTCTTTTACCTATATTGTTATCAATTTAAATTTATTAATTCTATTCAGATCTATTATTAAATCAAATCCATCAATTTACTGCAATAATTGTTTGATGATTTTTGTTGGCTATTTTAGCAAAAGTAATGAAAGTTTTTAGAAAGAAACTTAAGTAATTGCAAAATCACCATTATTTAGAAGTTTAAACATGGTTTACGAGTTAAATACTAGCAAGTATGTGTTAGCTTTAAGTGTTCATCATGATTAAGGGCAACTAACAGTTCTAACTAAATGGTTTCCGAAAAGTTTTAAATAAACTCCTTCCTATGAGAATAACCTAAAAAATTACAGCGATGTATTAATTCGTCTGAATTTAAAATTCTTGTAAATATCTATACTTTACACCAAAACAAAAGAAAAAAGGTGTAAACAGAATATACAGCGGGTGATGCAATTATTAGAGCCACCTAGTAAAATTCAAATTTTTTTTTACAAAAAAAGTATAAAATTGAGCTGTATCTTGTAAAACTTTATGAAAGTACAATAAACAGTCTGGCAACAGTGGCAACACAGGAGGATGGCAATAAGTGACTCAGATGCCATTGATTGTCAGTGCTGTCCATGTCCAGCCTAGGTTGCATATCGCGTGCATATTATTTGTTATTGGTTGTAGAGTTAGATAGGTCAAATCACACATAGACCACATGGCCTCTCAGGTCGATATCAAACGAAATACCCATTAAAAATACATCGTTCAAAAAGAAGACTAAAATCAACAGAAAGTGTATGAAGATGGGCACGTGGAATGTTAAGTCAATATACCAAGCAGGTAAAGTCCATAATGTCATTCAGGAAATGGAAAGACTTGACATAAAAATATTAGAACTAAGAGAAACCAGATGGCCCAATTCAGGTGACATATTAGTAGGCCAAACAAAGATATACTACTCTGGTGATGAAAACGACGCAAATCACTGGAACGGAGTAACGATATTAGTTGATAAAACTACCCAGAAATTTTTAACTGGCCTCTTATCCATCTCAGATAGAGTTGCAGAAAAGTCGGATGAAGAGTCAAGGTGATTTTATTGGAAACTATGGACTGGGACAAGAGATTGAACACTTACCAGAACATGATAACTTAAACCTTCATAAAAAAATTAGGGAAATAACAGGCACTAATATTAAGAAAAAATCAAACATACTGCTGGATAAAAATGGCAAAATAATTATAGGCGTCGGTTAAAGGCTTAAAAGATGGCAGGAATATATTCAAGAGCTATTTAAAGAATGGACTGAGATAGTACTACAGCAGGAAGAGTTCGACAACGGCCCAGACATAACAGAAGATGAAGTATTAGAGGCGATAAAGCGAACAAAGAATAACAAGGCAACAGGTCCTGACGAAATACCTGTAGACATAATACGGTTAATAGACGAACAGCAAATTGGAATATTGGTCGACTTATTCAATACAATATACAGTACACGAATCATTCCCAGAGATTGGCTGATATCAACATTCACAACATTACCAAAAAAACCAAATGCAAAAGGATGCCAAGACCACCGGATAATAAGTTTAATGAGTCATACTCTCAAAATATTTTTAAAAGTTATACACC